TATAGTCTCTTGTGTACCCCACATTTTGTGCTACACATCTCAAATGGTCTTCGTGACACCACAAAGGAAGAAAGGGTCTCACTGTGGGGCTTTTCCCAGATGTGAGCACCAATGCTGTGGCTAAGGAGTGAAGCAGCAGCTTGAGCCTGTAGTAGCAGGCTCCAGTAGTGACCCGCAGCAATGGCTGTTCCATCAGATAGTGCGGCGGCTCAGAGTCCATAAGCTAGAAATGGAAGACGGCTACGGTGGGCACATCGCCTTCTTCATAAGGCTGGTAATATGTACGCTAATGAAGCCAGAACACGACAACTACCTGATGAATCATGGTGGGATGCAATGGAGGGTTAGAGAAGAATGTAGATTGTAGATGCTTCAAGTACAGTCATGCAGAGAAGGGTGAAAAAGGGGTGATGCTGTGCTGGGGAGCAGAGCTTGGACAGCTGGTTGGGGGTTTGCAGGACAGAGCTCAAGCCTTTTCTTCCCAGCTCAACTTGAAGGACTTTGAAATAAAAAATCAAAAGTGTATGGTTTTTAGAAAATTTTTTTCTCTCTCTTTTCTAAAAGTATGTACTATGGTTTGTGTCTAGTTGCCCCCTGAAAGCCTCATGCAGTCATGGGGCAGTTTCTAGAGTTTATGATTAATTCTTAATCCAATGCTGGGATTATGGGCATGAGTGCTACACCCACCATGGGGCAGATAATCTGCATACAAATGTAGGGAGGGGAAAGAAGCTTGCTAGCTGCAGCAGCTGCTGCCCCTCCCTTTTCTTCTTGCTGTTTTCCTGCCTCTGTGAATGCCGTGAACAGCTGCCCTCTGCCTTGTGCCACTCTGCCTTGGAGCCAGCCTCGTACAGACTGAAACCTCTACTAACTATGGAGTAAAAGTAACTGAAAAGGACCTGAGACAGTGTGTGTGTGTGTGCACAGACGCATGTAAGACACAAACGATGACCAAAATACACCATCAACACTGACATCTTTAAAATCACATTGACTTTTTACAAAGATGGTGCCGAAGGCGAAGAAGGAAGCCCCTGCCCATCCTAAAGCTGAAGCCAAAGCAAAGCTTTGAAGGCCAAGAAGGCTGTGCTGAAAGGCGTCCACAGCCACTAAAAGAAGAAGATACCTACGTCACCCAACTTCTGCCATCCCAGGACACTGCAGCTCGGGAGGCAGCCCAAATACCCTCGGAAGAGCACCCCCAGGAGAAACAAGCTTAACCACTACGCCATCATCAAGTTCCCCCTGACCACAGGGTCAGCCATGAAAAAGATCACGGACAGCAACACACTCGTGTTCACTGTGGCTGTCAAAGCCCATAAGTACCAAATCAAACGAGCTGTTAAGAAGCTCTATGACATCGATGTGGCCTGATCAGGCCTGATGGAGAGAAGAAGGCATGATTATGGTGCACTGGATGCTGCCCACAAAATTGGGGTCATCTAAACTGAATCCAGCTGGCTAATGCTAAATATATACTTTTTTTCCAGAAAAAAATAAATAAAATCACATTGAAATCTTTAAGATTTAAAATTAAATTAAATCTTTAAAATATACAATGTCATTGTTCTTCCTCAAAATACTCCCACTCACTTTGAATGCACTTCACACTTACGCCACTGCTTTTGCCACTTTCTGAAGCAGTTCTGGAAGTCCTGGAAGGTCCCTTCTGCGAGTGTCTTTACAAGGTGTGATACACATGGATATAAAATGCTTCTGCCAAGTGCCAACAAACAGAAAGGCATAACGCAAAAACATTGTGCTGGGTCCTCACCAACCTGATTCACCCAATTTGGCACTGTGCAACCTCTGGCTCTTCCTCAGATCACCATGAAAAGCCAATGTCAACTCAGGACACTGAGGCAGCCACACAGTGCAGTACAGACCCTGATGAAAAAGAACTTCCAGAATTGCTTCAGAAAGTGGCCTGAAGGATGGGATAAGTGTATTCAAAGAGAAGGAGAATATCTTGAGGAGGCTTAATGCAATGAATATTTCACTGTAATAAATTTTAAAAAATGTAAACATTCATTGTATTTTTTTTTATCATGCCTCATTGTTTTGTCCACCTTGTGAATTAATTACTGAATTCTCAACGTATACAAAAATGCCTGGTATAGCACATACTCAATAAACATGCATTGAATTAATGAAACTTTCGGGGATGGGGAGATGGCTCAGTGGAATAAGTGCTCCCTGGCAAGCACAAAGGTCTGAGTTCAATTAAAAAAAAAAAAATTAATGAAACTTTTCTAAAGAAAAATACTGGGTTTTTCAGGTACTGAGTTCCTCATGAGTGGATTTTTGGAACTATGAGCTATAAGCTTGAATCGTTACCCTTGGTAGGAAGGTATACAATAGCTACGCCTCTCTCTGGGTGTAACAGCAAACACTTCACAGTCATTTAACCCTCCCTAGAATGGTATGAGTTAAGTGTTATCGATACTGCTATGTCACAAAAGTAGAAAGTGAGGTTTCAGAGGGAAGGCCTGAGGTCACAGTTATTAAGTGGCAGCTCCGGGATTTAAAACCCAGGCTTTCATTAACTTTAAACTATGTGGCTGGCCCCACCAGACAACCCCCAAGTTCCTTTCCTGTGATATCATACATTCTATTTCTAAATCTAATGTCTACATTAAAGATTACTCACCTTGTTGAAGATTAATACCCTAAATATGGGAAAGCCTCTTTTGAAACCAGTTACCATGGCAACTGCACCCATGGATATTGGGCCTCAGGGCACTGATGGGCTCTGATATCACTGACCAGAGTCCAGAGTCTTTCGCATGACACTTCAAACCCAGCTGTGCTCAGTATCAGCAGGAACTGCGCCCAGGACCCCTTGCTGGTCCTGCAGATACCTAAGTCTCTCAGTGTTTACCTACAGCTTCTGCACACCTCCCATAGACTTAAATCATCTCTAGGTGACTTGTGGCACCTAATACAGTGTAAATGTTACATAGATAATTGTTACACTGTATTTGGATAATAAAGAGAAGATGTCTTTACGTGTTCATTAAAGGCACACTGCTTTCCCGATATTCACAGATCAATCTCATCTCTTATTTTTTGCATGCTAGGATACTTTTTTATTTCTTCTTCCTCATTACCATGTCCTTATTGTCAACCATGGTCTATGTCTATCCTGATTGTTCACTGACAAGTCCACGCATGCATCCATCCAACCACCCATCCACCCATCCATCCATGCATCCATCCATCCATCCATCCACCCATCCACCCATCCATCCATGCATCCATCCATCCATCCATCCATTCACTAGCACTTAAAGGGAATGTGGTTGTTTCCCTAACCCTGCCCGTATATGCATACCTTACAGTATCACAGATAGAAACAAATGAGGAAGGCCATCTAATTCAAGTCACTATGTAGGACATAGATCAAGTGACTTTATCTTCTATGAAGCCACCCCTCAGTAGTGTAGTTTCTCTTTGCCTATCTTGTCCTCCTTCTTACCAAAGTATGGCTGTACCGGTGGTATGAACATTTTAGAGACTGACTGCCCAAACCCGCTTATTTATCACAAAGTGCCAGCACTACAATTGAACTTGAATAGTGAGGTTCTAGGTTACAAAAAAACAACAGCTACTATTTCATGCTGGGCTGCTGGGGTGACTTGGCTTGCATTCTGATGGAGGGGACCTTGTGTACCTGTGGTGGCATGCATGCCATAGATTCACCACCACTGGTCTAGACCATAACTGATAAATAACAAAACCTCACTCCATCTTGAGTTATGTTCTAAAGTTAGCGTGAAAGGGAATAGTTGGAATTGCCCTTAGGAATCCCCTAGGAAGACAGGGCCCTCCTGAAGACAGGCCACTTTCTGCCACAGGCCCCTCACAGCAGGTTTGTCCTCACATAGAAAGGACTTGCTATTTCCTTGCATAAAGAATCAAGAAGTCATCTTAGAGTAAAGAGGCGAGGAAGATGCACATCCGTTAGACCTAAAACCACAGCAGGCTCACACTGAGATGCTTACAGTGTGACTTCAACAGATGACCAGACCCCAGCTCAGCAGAGTGCTCTGTCCCCTCCTGTGCCCTCCCACTTGGCCAAACTGGCCATATGCACACTCTCCCTAGCCATGTGACCACCCAGCCAGTTGTGGCAGAGCTGCCTTTAAAGCCTGCTGCTGGCTACAAGGTCTGAGCAAGCCCACCTGCCCGACTCACTGCATGCATTGCAGACCCTCACTATACGGACTGACCCCTGCAGCAGCGGATAACTGATAGCACTCTAAAGAGCTCCTGACCCTCTCAAGGAAACGCGACCCCTACCCCAAGTGTACAAAGTCTACATCTTGTGTTTTCTTCTATTACAAACATAACAGCTGCACTATTATAAACATTTGACACATGAAACAATAGTATGAACATTTGATATTTTAGTGTAGCTCCCCTTTTAAGAGTAGCCTTCTTGCAAAGAAGAGCATTCATTGTGAGGCTTTTGAGGTCCCAAGTCAACATGTGGGCACCTATAGGTTTCACTCTTACACAGCAAGTGGCAAACACTCAAAGCTCAGGGCAGGAGCTGCAGGGGAGCTGGGAGCAGCAGCCATGCAGTCATCCCAAGACAGCCCGGAGGACATCTGTGCAAAGGCTGTCAGCCCCCAAAACTCAACGGACACCATGCAGGTGGAGGGCTGCTGAAGTGCCACGTCCATGGCAAGGCTCGGAGGAGGAGCACCCCAGAAACAACATCCTCCTCCCATCACCACCCCAACTCCCAGCCGCCCGGAGCGTTCTTTATGTCCCCACTTGGTCTAGCACTATGGAAGCTGATATTTCAATGTACTCCCTCTCCGTAATTAACAAAACCTCTTTGCAACTTAGTTTTAGCACAGGAGTTACATACATGCCACTTAACACTTCATTCAAAGCAAAAGTTGCTCTCAGCTTCTCCAAGCAGCACAGACACTGGGCTTTTGGCAAGCACCGACATCGGGCCCCTGCGCAGGGCTGGAGCATGGACTCACCTCTCTGGAGGACCAAGGAGCTCTTTCCCGTCCGCTGCAAGGGCAAGAAGCAGAGTGAGAAGGAGGCACTGGCCTTAGTCTGGTAGAGTGAGGGCTTTTCATGCCACAACCAGCTCTCAAAGCCTGGTGTGGAGTGGCAACTCATCTGGGACTCCGGGGACTCCCTGTCCCTGCACTGTGGCTGTCACCCCCATGTCAGGGAGCAGGTATGGATACGATCTCCTTGGCGGGTGGGAGCCTCTGTAGGGTTTCTCTATTCCTGTCTTGTCTTGTACAGAGCAGGGCAGTGAGCACGGCTGCCCATGTGTGGCTGCAGGCGCACTGGCCGTGTGCTAAGCATCATTCAGGCTCTTTTGAGGTACTCAAGTGCACATCACCTTGCTGTTCTCACTGTGGTCTTGTGAGACTGAACTATCATTACTGCTACCTATAAACAAGCAGAAAGACTCAGTGAGAACAAGGCCTGAACATCCAGGGCTAGGGCTGGGGAGCTGGAGCCCGTGAGGCCACTGTACTATGAAGACGTGGTGCTTCACTCCTGCTCCTGGAAAACTGTCTCTCCCATGAGGAAAGCAGGCGAAGGCTTAATTATGTAACATTTATAAAAACCACACTTAGCCTTCTTTGATGTGGAGATGGTCAGGTTACTAAAGTAAACTAAGGAGAACGCTGTCGCTCTGTGTAGGATTTCCTTCCAGGGTGAGGCTTCGGATGGGTTGCAGCACCGGTTCTCCAAGTGTGTGGTTCCTGGGCCACCAGTGGGAGCATCCCTTTATGACTCGTTAAAAGGCAGATTCTGAGGCTCTACCCCAGGCCAGCTGAATCTGAGATGCTGGAAACCGAGCCTGGCCGTGTGAGCCCTAACAAGTCCTCTCGGTGATGCCAACATGTGCTCAAGCTGAGCATCATCAGGCTGGAGGAACCCACGAGAGGAAGTTGCCTGAATCAGTCAAAGGAGCAGTGTCCCGCTCTCTCCATGTACCAGCTGCTAGTGGCCGTGGCCACAGTAAGACGTGTGTCGGCACTACCACACATGACCCCCAGAAGAGTGCTCTCCTGCAACAGGACCCAAGTCAGGGGTTTCAAGTGCCACCAAGGTCAGGTGGTGGGTGAGGAGTGGGTGACTGCCGTTCCTTCAGCAGCAGAGTAAGATGCAAAGTAGCGCCGAGGAATGGGCTCCAGAGCTGTGTGAGTGCCTCCAAGGGACGGGGAGGGCAGGCCGGTCCCGTAGGACCCTGCTGGGCCTCCAGAAGGCCTCGGGCCACGTTCCCACTGGCCTGCTCCCCTCAGCCCCCACCTCCCCTGCCCTGCACCACTGTGTTGGCAGCAGGGTCTGCAGGGAGCACCAAGGCTCACCAGCTCCCTGTTCAGTGACTTCTTGTTCTCTTCCTCTTGGATGTATTCCCAGCCCATCAAGCACTCTCAGGGGAGGCAGGCTGCCTGGGAGTGGCAGGGCCAAGTCCCACAGCTTTTGTCATGTAGCAGGCAAGTTGTCCAGCCTGTGTAAGTGCACCACAGTGATGGACATCTGGCCTGGGCAGGGGAAGAAGGGTGGTGCTGCCTTACCTGGGCATCGGTGCCAAGGGAGGGACCCAGGACGTGGCCTGCAGGGCACTCGGAGTGTGCAGCTCCCACGTTTCCTTACCTTTGGCTTGGGTCTCAGTGAGGGCAGCCTGCTGCCTCTGGAAAGCCTGGAGATCTACGGCTGGGGGCTTTGGAGGCTTTGGGGGAGCAGGACCCAGAGACTCAATGGGAGGCAGTGGCTTCGTTCTGGGGAGCTGGGGTTGCTTGGTGTCCAGAGGGTTTGCTGAGCAGAGACAGGACAATGTGCAGGTCATGGTTTCCATGTCATGACTGGTTCCCCTGCCTCAGTCCTCCTCCCGGCCATCTGCACCCACTCAGCAGCCAGTGTGCCCAGCCCTCGGCAGACCCACTGCCTACCTGTCCCACACCAGTGCCTGGCCTGCCTCATCGCATGGCATCAGCCCTCCACAGACCACCGAACTCAGCCCAAAGTCCTTCACCTCTTACCTGAGACTGTTCGTTCCTATTCTGGGATGCTTCTCTCTCGTCTGTCTGTCTGTCTGTCTGTCTGTCTGTCTGTGTCTCTCTCTCTCTGTCTCAAGCTTCAACTCTCCCCCCACCCCATCCCCACCCCCATACTGGGGATTGAAGCCAGAGCCTTCACACTGAGCTATAGCTCACCCTCCTTATTCTTCTTAATTTTGAGACAGATTCTCATTAAGTTCTTAGTGGCCCAACTTGGGCTCAAATTTGAGATCCTCCTGCCTTAGCCTCCCAGAGTACTGAGATTATAGGCTTGTGCCATCCTGGCCTGCCTTCAACCCACTCTAAAAACTCTGCTCCAATGATAGCTCCAAAAGCTCAGGATGGCTTTTCTTGATTTCTCCAGAAATCAAAGCCAGAATGACCCACTCTCTGATTTGTATTCCATCACCAGTGCCAACACTGTGGCACTAGTGGAGAGGCTGGTCCCTCTCCCTATGACCATGGGGCCCCAAGGCAGGAGCGTGTCCCATTTAATCTCCCAGGACCTGCTTAGAGGGGACAGAGAGATTCTTCCCTGAAAGGATTCTTCAAACACTTAGGATGTAACATAGCACATGAGCTACAATGAGGAGAAAAATTTCTTCTGATTTCCAGGGCTCATAGCCTAGGACTGGCTTAAAACTGCTTTGTAACTTTTGGTATCTGTTAATGTTATAGCCTTGAATTTTCTTTTAAAGTCAAGATTTTATGTATTTTGTGCTTCTGCACTCAAAATCCAGTTCCTACAGAAATTTCAGTATTGTACATGCAAATCATATCTGCCTATTACACTGAAAATAACACAGAAAGGTCGTGTATAATCCAAGTGCCTTCATATTTGGTTTTCAGAATATGTAGCTGACCCTACAGAATTCTCAGGGTAAAACTTAGCAAGTAGCAGGGTCTCTGAGGTGCCTCTCTGTAGCTTCTGTCCTGAGCTTTTCAAGCCGGGAGTGGAGGGACAGCATCCTTGCCCTACCAGCAGGGGGCACTGCTCTGATGCACAGAGTAAAATTATTCCCTTCTGAGACCTTAGCTCTAAGCCCAATATCAGAAGGTGCAGTTTTTATCAAATTAGAGAGAAGACAATGAAAATACACTATCACTTACCGACTAGGTTTCTAATTTTTACCAGGCATTTTACTAAGCAATTTACAGTTATTTCACTTAACTCTCCCAATAGTTCTAATTTGTTTTTATCCATCTTTCCTCCCTTTCCATCCTTCCTTTTCTAAATGTTTATTGTATGCCTGGCATTGTTCTAGCAGCTGGGGATAGAACACATGCAATCCTACCTTCAAGAATTTCTACTCTAATTGGAGGAAATGGATGCAAAACAAGCGACAAATAAGCAAGATAATTCAAGAGAGATGTCTGGAACTCTTGCCTCAGTTGATTGTCGCTGGCAAGGGAGGGAAAGAGAAGTAGGAAAAAGATCTGAGACTCAGAAAAGTCCAGAACGCATGGCCGTAAAGACTGTGGTAAGTAGTTTAGTCTGTAATCTCAGGACTGGAGAAATCAAGGAGAATTTTTAAACAGGAATTCTACCCACCTATCTAACCATGAATGCATCCATCTGTGAATCCATCCATCCAGGAACCCATCCACACATCCATCCACCCACCCACCCACCCATCCACCCACCTATCCATCCATCCATCCATCCATCCATCCATCCATCCATCCATCCATCCATCCATCTATCCATCCACCTACCCACCCAATCATTCAATACATTTTTCTTTTGAGGAAACATTCAACTTGGTCTTACATCTTGTTCTTCTAGGGATATGGCGGCAAGGAAGATGATCTTTTTAAAAAATTTTTCTGAAGTAACTGAAAAAATGTATAACCACATACCAGGTATAGGAATAAGTGATATGGGAGGACAACTTGGTACCTTTTCAAATATAGTAACCAACAAAGTCCACTCAGCAGATGACACTTGAACCAAGGCTTTCTTTAGTGAAGGGAAGGAGAGGCAGAAGAGTCTGCAAGGCAGAGGGGCTGTAAGTATAGAGACCTGGGGTGGAGCCCACCTGGTGCTCTGAGAAGACATGTCCCACGAATGGGCCTGTAGGTCACACAGGGCTCTGGACAGCTAGGACTAATAAATTTCTACATCATTTCTGACACTATTTACTATTTTTAGTCTCTTTAGTGGAAATTTTCAAAAATTTATTTATTTGGTGCAAGGTCTCACTACACAGTTTGACTCCTCCTGTCTCAACCCCTCCAGTGCTGGGATTACAGGTGTGTGCCACCACGCCCAGTGTCAGTGGCTGGCATGGTGCGTCCAGGGTTCTGGGGCTGGCTCAGCCTGCAGTACCAAGGCAGGATTGAACCCAGGTCTTTGTGCTTGTCATGCAGGTGCTTAGATTGCAGAGCTATCTCCTCAGTCCTTTATTCTCTTTAAAAAATAATAATAAAAAAAATTAGCACTGGAAAAAAGATAGCAGACATCAACTGTCAAAACAATATTGATTTTTAGTAATTTTTCATGACCCATTGCACAGCAGGGACTTGGATGTGGAGCAGCATAACGGAGGGCACAGAACGGTGCCAGCTCGGCCTCCGGTGCCTGCCACTCACAAGAGGCCCAGGGGAGACTCCTGTGCATCATGTGCCATGTGCGAGTACCTAGGTGAGTGTGCGCTGTGAAGATGGGTGTTTACTGTTCCTAAGCAGATGCGTAAGTTTCCTTATTTAATAGAACTTGGGCACATTGTTATTTGTAAAACAACATAGTAAGTTTCAGCAGCTGTGGTATAGAATTACAAAAAGGTATCCAATCGATTTTGCTTTTGATAACTTACTGTAATTACATCTATAACACTAATACGACAAATGCTAATACTAGCAATGTTATAATACTAGAAATGTTATAATAAAAACATTAAAAAATAAAGGAAGTTTTGTTACGTATATACTGTTTGGATGTGTCTAGGCTGCAGGTTGGAGGTACTTGTATGATAATAAAATATATATTTTAAAGGATATTTCATTTATATATAAACTACATTATACACTTTACGTGGGGACCGACACAATTCCTCTTCACTCAGTGCAGCCAGGGAGGGGGAAAGGCTGACATCCGTGCCTTAG